GAAGTTTCCTGTAGTGCTGCATAATTTAGTGAAAGAACCATGGGACTTATAGATTAAGATGAGTCAACTTGACCAACTGGACCTTAATGTTGATGCTTACTTAACTGGAGCTACATGACCCCATTTCCTTGCCCGTTCTCACAGCTCTTACTATTGTCTGTTTTTAAACACATATCTAATTCAAATTTAAAAGATACCACAGTCATATGGTAAAGCATAAACATTCTCACATCAAGTTCCCCCCTCCGGTAAAAGAAAATGCCCTCAACCGCGTCTCTTACGTTTCCCGCACCTCTGCCTCACATCCCCTCCCCCCAACAAAAACAAGGCAGAATCCCATTGTCCTCATGTATCACCCCACCAACCTCCGCATCCAACGTATCATTCTCCACCACTTCCGCCACCTACAATCTGACTCCACAACCAAGGATATATTTCCCTCCCCACCCGTATCTGCCTTCTGTAGGGACCGGTCTCTCTTCAACTCCCTCGTCCGCTCCACACTTCCCACTAGCCCCATCACCCCCGGCACCTTTCCCTGCAACCGCAGGATGTGCTACACCTGCCCCTACACTTCGCCCCTCCCCTCCATCCAAGGCACAAATCAAACCTTCCACATTAGTCAGGGGTTCACCTGCACATTCGTCAATGTAGTCTACTGCATCTGCTGCTCCCGATGTGGCCTCCTGTACATCAATGAGACCAAGCGGAGGCTTGGAGACCGCTTTGTAGAGCATCTGCGCTCTGTTTGTGACAAACGACCAAATTTCCAGCTGCGAACCATTTTAACTCCCCCTCCCACTCCCTGGGTGACATGTCCATCCTGGGCCTCCTCCAGTGGCACAATGACGCCACCTGGAAACTGGAGGAGCAGCACCTCACATTCCGCCTTGGGAGTCGACAACCCAATGGCCTAAACGTGAATTTTACCAGTTTCAAAATCTCCCCACCCCTGGTCTCATCCCATGACCAACCCTCCCTCTCAACCCTGCCTCCATGATCTGACACAACCTGTCCACCTTCTCTCCCACCTATCTGCCCCTCCCACCTTACTGAACAATCCCCACCACTACCTACCTGCACTCACCTATCAACATCCCACCCACCTTCCCCAGCCCCCCCCCCCTCTCTATGTATTTCTGAGCTCCCTTCCCCCTCCCCATTTCTGAAGAAGGTTCCCGACCCGAAACGTCAGCTTTCCTGCTCCTCTGATGCTGCCTGGCCTGCTGCACTCCTCCAGCTTCACACTGAGTTATCCCAGCATTCTCACATATTATGATAAAGGAGTAGAAAATTACAAAGGGACATAGGTCAAATGTATGGAGAACAACGCACGCTTTGAACCTCAAATAAAGAGAGATCATTGATCAGTAGATGCCTGTATTAGCAGAGCTTTAAGAATTTTGTGTATTTGTGTAGCTATAAATGATCTCGTTAAAGACAGAATTGTAATAGGAATAACAGATACCACAATAAGAACATGTCCAGTAAGAGATGAGAATGCGATCCACATGTGCAGAAGCGCTTAATTTGTAAATCAGCAACTGGACTATTTTCATGGCAGAACAGACCAATCCTTGCAATATGCTGATAGACATAGGGGCAGTAAGATCATGGTCAAAGGGTAGGTTGCAAATTCGGAACTGCCCAGCATCCCCAGTGCCAGTGTCATCTTTAAAAGGCTGTTATGCATCTGTACAAGTGCTGGCAGCCCGAAGCTGCCCTGCACAGTTCCTGATATTTGCCTGATTCTTAGCAAATGAGAGGAATATGATGTCCCACTTTGTGGGTGTGACCTGGAGGTCCTGCTGCTTGGGGTAATACAGGGGCAGGATGTCCTCTACTCCCAGGACAGGCAATGGAAGTCGTGACACTAGACCATGCCAGCTTGGTCCAAAGTTGCTACCATTTCACTGCAGTCTCAGCCAACTGGATGAATGAATAACAATGTAGGAAGAAGGTCAATATCTCTCCACTTCACCAGGATAAATGCTACAGCTCTCTATATTGTACCCATATCCCACCAAGAGTTGATAATAAAATCTGGAATTAAAATCTTGGCTTAGGAACTATCACTGATCATCATCAAAAGTGTAATGTCCTTCAAGGAAGGAAATCAGTCAGCCTTAACTGCTCTGGCCTACATGTGACTCTAGACCACAGCAACATTGTTAACTCCTTAACTAGCCTCTGGAAGGGTAACTAGGGTTGGGCAACAAATGCTTGCCGTGCTGGTAATGTGTACATCTCATGCAAGAATAACAAATATACATAGATGTATTGGACATAGCACTTGGGGCTAAAGGGATCAAAGGATATGGAGAAAAGCAGGAACAGGCTATTGAGTTGGATGACCAGCCAAGATCCTAATGATTGGCAGTGCAGGTCTGAAGGACTGAATGGCCTACTTCTAGAATTATAGAATCCCTGCAGTGCAGAGAGAGGCCATTCGGACCATTGACTCTGCACCGGCCCTCTGAAGAGCATTCCTCCCAGACCTAACCCCTAACCATATCCCCATAACTCTGCATTTACCATGGCTAACTCATTTAGCCCACACATCCCTGGCCACTACGGGGCAATTTAGTACGACCAATCCACCTAACCTGCATATCTTCGGACTGTGGGAGGAAACCAGAACACCTGGAGAAACCCCTGCCAAAATGGGGAGAACATGCAAACTCCACACAGACAGTCGCCCAAGGCCTGAATCGCATCCAGGTCCCTGGCATTGTAAGGCAGCAGTGCTAGCCACTGAGCTACCATGCTGCCTCATACTCCTGTGGCTATTTTCTATGTGTCTGTGTAAATCAAACAAATTAAGCAGACATACACAAGGTAATTCTCAAGCGCAGAAACACATGTACTATAAGCAAGGAAAGTAGTTGAATTTAAATATGAATGTCACATTGCACCCAAATTACTCTTCCAATAGCAAAAAAAATTACAAGCCAAAATTAGTGACAGGTATGAGTAATGAAATCAAAGTGAAATAGCAGAAAGCCAAATTTAATTTTGATAAGACTACTAAACCATTGCCAGAGTTGAGCACTGGGGTGTCAGTCAGGGTGCAACCTTCAACGCCTTGAAAATGTCATTATATGGAGGTGCCAGTGTTGGACTGGGGTTGACAAAGTCAGAAGTCACAGGACGCCAGGTTTTGGCCCAACAGGTTTATTTCAAATCACAAGCTTTCGGAGCGCAGCCCCTTCATTGGGTGCAGTGAGAGAGAAGCACATGGACACAGAGTTTATAGGCAGAGAGATCAAGGGTTCAGAGATCAAAAGATCATACAACTGGTGTGGGTGGAGTGTCAGATAATAAGTCTCTGCAGGTGACCATGAGTGTTAGACAGTGAGTAAAGTGTCAACAGCTGATTAACCAGTGAAGGGATGACCTATAATCTGACTAAATGAGACAGAGAGAGAATTACAAAAAATCAAAAATAAGATGGTGCTGGAGACATACTAAATGACTGGAATAACATGATAGGTATAAGAATCGCATGCCGAAGGTCTAACCAAAGTAATAAGTAATTCAAAACTGTACAAACCAATTAAGGCACAGAGATCATAACAATTTATCAAGGAGATGGTGTCAAAACAGCCAGTAAGGAAGATTTTACAGGTACAGAAGTGTGGTGGGGTCACATGTAGCATGACATGAACCCAAGATCACGGTTGAGGCCATCTTCATGGGTACAGAACTTGGTTATCAGTCCCTGCTTGGCGATTCTGCATTGTTGTGTTTCTCGAAGTCCAGCTTGGAGGATGCTTACCCAAGAATCAGAGGCTGAATACGCTTGACTGCTGAAGTGTTCCCTGACTGGGAGGGAACATTCCTGTCTGGCTTCAGCAGTCAAAGCCACCTGATGAAGGGGTTGTGCTCCAAAAGCTTGATTTCAAATAAACCTGTTGGACTATAACCTAGTGTCCTGTAACTTCTGACTTTGAAAAAGTCAACCCAAGTGGTAACCTACAACTTGCCTAGAGCAGTTGTCATTTCAATTGTGTACAGTGGAAATGAATGCCTCAATTTATGGTTGCAACTGCAGGAGCATAAATTCATACAGTGGAGCTGTTCTTTCACTGTAGGTAGCCATTCAATAAGATTTAACTTTTTGAGACCAGTGACCCTTAATTAGAATCATTCTGATGAAGAGTCACTGCATGTGAAATGTAAACAGTTTTTCTCTTTACAGATCCTGCGAGGCCTGCCGAGTTTTCCAGCAATTTCTGTTTTTGTTTCGGATTTCCAACATCTGCAGTTCTTTCATTTTTTTGCTAATACATTGGAACAGGTGTGTATAATGGGTAGCTTCGGTATCCCACATTGTAAATAGTAACATATGCCATGCAATTTTGTTATTTTTGCAAATGAAAAAATTGTTCGGCATAGAAACACAATACAAAATATAGTGGTACTAAAATGCTCATGGTTTGCCATAGTCACCTGACTTTTGCTCACTGCAAAATATTCATTTTAGTGCCAATGCAATAAAGACACAATACAAACTAGATTCGAAACCGGATGCCGGAATTTGAAACAAAAACAAAAACTAGTGGAAAAACTCAACAAGTCTGGCAGCATCTGTGGAGAGAAAGCAGAGATAACGTTTCAGGTCCTGTGACCTTTCTGAATAAGTGAGTTCTCTTATTAATCTGATTTATCTTCACAGATGCTGCCAAACCTGCTGAGTTTTTCCAGCAACTTCTGTTTTTGCACAAAATAAACTGATCTCCTGTGAGTTTGTGACAAAAGAATACACCTTTTCTGTGCGCATACGTTCAGTGACCTGATTAAACCTCTCACTGTGGAGCATCAGAATAAAAACTGCTCTTCCGAAATCCAAAACTTCAACCTCGCGAGATTTGGGTGTAATCTCGCACTCGTTGTTGACGTCACCTCGGGATTACGTCCGGCGTTCCTTGTGACTTCAGCGGCCGGCGTGTGATTGGCGACCGTCGGGCGAAGGCGCAGGCGCATTGTGCGCCGTTGGGCACAGTTTTGTCGTGCGGCGTCGGCGGAACCGGTGCTGAAAGCTCTGTGTTCAGGACGGAAGGGATGGTGTAGGACCGGAACTGATCTGAGAGGAGTGGCGTTTATCAAACCGTGTATACACAGCTGCCCGAGGCCGGTGAGGACGCATGATGCGCAGTAAGGCCGAAGTGGATAGGTACATTGCCTCGATGCAGGGCGTCACGCCGCTCTCACCCCGTGAGGTGAGTGTCCAACACTGCGGGATGTGGAGACAAACTGCGCGGGCTAGGAAAGCGCGGGCAGTGCAGATTGTGGCCTCAGCTGCTAGGCCTCGCCTCTGTCAGGCCCTGCGGTTGTGTTCTGAGGAATTAAGGCAAGAATCTATCAATTTGTTAAGCAGCTGTAGTTTAGCACTTTGTTTCAAAGTGGAGGCGGCAGTGATCTGTATTGAAGTTTGGCGATGCTGGATTCTATAAACTAAGCTCATCCAGACTTTCAGTTTTGATCCCGCTTTTGAAGAAATGAAACTAGTCATAGATGCTTAATAGACATAACAAGGTGTAGGACTGGATGAACACAGCAGGCCAAACAGCATCAGAGGAGCAGGAAGGCTGACGTTTCGGGCCTAGACCCTTCTTCAGCATCTGCAGTTCCTACTATCTCTGAAACAATAGATGCTTAATAGAAAGTTTCTATTGACATCAGCATGTGAAATGTACGAATTGCTATAAGTAGTTCATTGACTTCTTAGTTTGTTTGCAGATGTAATAATGGTTTGTACCGATTGATGAATTTTATGCAGTGAGCTGTTAAACAAATTTGTATATCCTGAGGAATTTTTTTGAAGTGTACTCTTCAAAATTTTGTCTATTTCACATAACCTTCCAACTTCCTTTTCAGAAATCACTCAAAGGGTTTTTGTTTGCAAAACTCTATTATGAAGCCAAGGAGTATGAACTTGCAAAGAGGTAAAGAATTTTTTTCAGTATGTGCTATTTTAAAATGAATCTCCTTGGGCTATTCTAAAAGTTTTCCAATTTATGCACTGACTAAAATTGCCTGACTAATCAAAACCATAAAATCCATGTTGTGGTAATAAGAAACAATATAAACACTTAAATCTTTTTAAATACTTATGTTATCCATCTTGCTCTCTGTATCCTGTTTTAAACTGTAACTTTTCCAAATGTATTCTGTTACCAGATTTTTTTTCTGTTCCTGATGTTAGTGTGTATATCATGTATACAGAGAGGAAGATCACCTTCTACAGTACTTTAAAGTAGTGAATTGTCCTGATGTGCTTGAAGAAAGCACTATAATATGGTATATGAGACTGAGCCATTTGACATAAAAAGACAGATAACAAAAAACTTTGTTGTAGGAGCAGGTCCTTTGCCCCTTAACGGAGGAAGGGGAGGCAGAGAGCTATAGGGAAAGTGTTCTATAGCCTGTGACTGAAAAACTGAAGGTATGGATGCTAATCAGGAACAAAAACAAGTTGCTAGAAAAGCTCAGCAGGTCTAGTAGCATCTGTGAAGAAACGATCAGTTAACGTTTCAGGTCTGGTCACCCTTCCTCAGAACCGATGGTAGCTGGGAAAACGTCTGTTTATATGCAGAAAATGGGGAGGGAGATGAGGCAGGGAGCAAACAATAGGATAAAGGATGGAGCCTGAGGAGAGGAGCAGTTGGATAGACAAAGGAGTTCATAATGATCAGTCTAGGAGAGTGAATAGCTGTTAATGGGGACTGATGGTGACTAACAATAGGTAGTGTGTAATTGCAGGCTATGTGATAACAAGGCCTGGTGTGTTGGGTAGGGGGCTAGGACATGGGAGAATTTAGGCCCTAAGATTATTGAACTCAATACTGAGTCCAGAGGGCTGCAGGGTCCCCAAGCAGAAGATGAGATGCTGTTCTTCCACCTTGCATTGAGCTTTGCTGGAACACTGCAGCAAGCCAGAGACAGAGATTTTGGCCAAGGAACAGGGTGGTGTGTTAAAGTGGCAGGCAACTGGAAGCTTGGGGTTTTTTTTGTGAGCGGAGCATAGATGTTCTGCAAAGAGGTCACCCAGTCTACGCTTCGTTTCCCCAAAGTAGAGGAGACCACATTGTGAGCAGCGAATGCAGTAGACTAGATTCTGGGAAGTGCAGGTGAAGTATTGTTTCACCTGGAAGGTATGTTTGAGCCCTTGGTTACTGGAGTGGGAGGAGCTAAGTGGCAAGTGTTGCACCTTCGCCGGTTGCAGGGGAGGGGGATGTTGGGGTGAAGGAAGTGTGGACTAGGGTGTCCCAGAGGGAACAGCCCCTTCTGAAGGTGGATAGGGGAGGAGAATGTGTGTCTGGTAGTGGCATCTCACTGGAGGTGATGAAAATGGAATCTGATCTTCTGGATGTGGATGCTGGTGGGATGGGAGGTAAGGACAAGGGGAACCTTTATCGCTGTTGGGGGGGGGGGGGGAAGAGAGGGTGTGAGGGCGGAAGTGTGGGAGATAGGTTGGACCCGGTTGAGGGCCCTGTTGACAACGGTGCTCGGGAATCCTTGGTTGAGGAAGAAAGTGGACGATTTGGAGGTTCCCTTGTTGAAGTTGGCCTCCGATCGTAGCTGGGAAAACATCGGTTTATATGCAGAAAATAAGGAGGGGGATGGGACAGGGAGTAAACGATAGGATAAAGGATGGCACCCAAAGAGAGAGAGAGGAGCAGTTGGATAGACAAAGGAGTTGAAAATGATCTGGCTAGGAGGGAAAATAGTTAATGGGATCTGTTAGTCCCTGTTAGGGACTAACAATAGCCTGCCATTACACACAAGGCCTGGTGTGTGGGGTAGGGGGTCTGGGACATGGGAGAGTTTAGGCCCTAAGATTATTGAACTCAATATTGAGTCCAGGAGGCTGCAGGGTCCCCAAGCGGAAAATGAGGTGTTGTTCTTCCAGCTTGCATTGAGCTTCGCTGGAACACTGCCGCAAGCCAGGGATGCTAACGCTGGAGCAGTGAAAGTTGGTGATTAATAAGAACCCAGCATTCATGGCATGCAAATATACAGTACTGTGGGGCTGGAGGAGATTACACATGGGAGCTGCAAGGCTACAGTTAGATTTGAAAACCAGGTTAATAGTATTAAAATCAAACTGGTGCTTGATTGGGAACCAATATATGTCAGCAAGCACAGTGGTTGAAAGCAAACAGGCAGCAGAGTTTTGGACAGCCTCAACTTTTATGGATGTTAGAATGCAGGAAGCTAGCTAGCTTCCTATGTTGATGTAGTTGACTCTGGAAGTAACAAAGACCTGGTCTATGGTTTCACTAGTTGATGGATAAGGGCAAGGGTGAAAAAAATTATGGAGGTGGAGTTAAATTTAGCAATGGCATGAATATAATGTTGGAGGTTATGCAGAATGAGCTGATCCTGGGTCATGATGCAAAATGGGCTTTAATTCAATTTAGACATTCTAGAATTCAAAAACCCAACTGAACTGTGGTTCTTGCACTAGATTCTGATCTAGGATTTGGTTGGATATGCTGCCGTTTTAGCATACCTTGCTAAAACTATCCAGACGTACAATAAAGTGTTAAAGATTAATGCAATTGATCTGCAAGTAGAATTTTATGATTTGGTTTCTTTATAAGCATCAACTTACTAAAATATCTCAATTCTATTTAATATGTTGTGCATGTTCTTGAACATTTGCTTAATTGCTGGTTCATACAGATATTGATATTGTTTCAAATCATTCAGCACAGATTGACCTGTACATTAGCCCTACATCCCTCTGTCAACTGTGGTTGCCACTTTCACCTCAGAAGTTGTTTAAATCCCATTGCAAATTTGAATACAAAATCAAACTTGACTGAGATATGAGTAATGCATTCACCCAGAGAATGGTGAACCTGTGGAATTAGCGACCATAAAAAAACAATTGAGCCAAAAAATGATTTGATGGAATTGGATACAGCATTTGGGGTTAAAGGGATCAAAAAGGAAAAGCAGGAATGGGCTCTTGAGTTGGATGGTTAGCCATTATTATAATGAATGGCGGAGCAGGCTCAAAGGACCAAATGGCTTACTGCTGCTATTTTCAGTCTTTCTTTTTAAAAATTTCTGTTATTCGTGCTGCCTTTTGACCTTTAAGATTCACTGCCATAGGTGGTTGTACATAATCTCAGGGCACTTAATAAAATGAGCTACTTTTGAACAGGGGACCTATCATGTCAACATTTGTTCTTTAATATCTCAATCATATTACTGTATGTGGTAGTTTTGTGTGCACATTAGTTGATTCCCTGAGTTCCGTCATGACTACACTTTATTTGCTGTAAAGCACTTTGGGGTGGCCTTTCTTGTGAAAATGCAAGCTGTCTGTCTTCCGTTTGCCCCAGTCTTGCAAAGATTGTTCCTACTTTGAGTCTGTACTACTCCCTGTGTTGACTGTCTTGATTTTAGTTTTGGTATTTCAAAAAAGCACTTACTTAATTAGGAAGCATGTGCTTTCTGTGACCCTACTGTAATCTCAAGTTTTTTTTACAGGCAAATATCAGCTTACATAAGTGTGCAGGAAAGGGATCCAAAAGCGCACAAGCTTCTTGGCCAAATCTATGAGTCTGAAGGCAACATTGAAAAAGCCATTGGTTGTTATAAGGTAAGGGCAATTGTTCAACCAAGTCAGCATATTTTTGGATAGTTATTAGTTGAAAACCTGCAATGGTAGATGTAGAATATTCTTAATAATTGACCAGATAAAGGGCTACGGTCCATTTTAGGAAGAAAAGAATGAAATATATCATGCTTGTTGCCAGTTAATTTGACAATGGACATTAATAAAACGTTTCAAGGTTAAATAAATTTGATTACAGCTCATCAGATTTGCCATTCGTTGCTAAGTACAGTTATTACCATTGCACTATTTTAGTGCAGTTGCTTGGCTTCAGGTGACAAAGGGCTAACAGGGATCAGATTACAAAGATAAAGCTTCAAGATAACTAGCAATCTTGTTATGAGTAATATTACCTTTCAGATTTTAAAAAACATTAAATCCAGCTCTCATTCCATAAAAAGAATGCTGTATAGAGTTCCATAAGATATTTTTCACCCAGATTTCATGAACAAATCAGCCATAACAACAACTGAAGTTGACATTGTGCCTTTAACGTATTAACAAGCCCCAAAATACTTCACAAGACCATATGAAACAAAAATGACACTGAGCATTATATTGAGTGTGACATATATACAGAATAGTGTGGATGCTGGAAATTCGAAATAAAACGCTGAAAATCCTCAGCAGGTCTGGAAGCGTTTGTGGAGTGTTTTGGATCTGTGACCTTTTTCAGAACAGGAAAATACTTTTAAAAATCTAATGCATCAATGCAATGAAATGCAGGAGACATGGTAAAAGAACGGAATAGGGTGGCATAGTAGTTAGCACTGCTACCTTACAGCACCAGGGATCCGGATTCGATTCTAGTCTTGGGAGTTTTTTTATTCATTCACGGGATGAGGATGTCACTGGCTAGACCAGCATTTACTCTTAATTTGTTAAGAGTCATAGAAATTGCTGCGGGTCTGGAGGCATGTGTAGGCCAGACCGGGTAAGGATGGTAGTTTCCTTCCCTAATGGACATCAGTGAACCAGATGGGTTTTTCCGACAGTTGACAATAGATTTGTGGTCATCATTAGACTCTTAATTCCAGACTTGCACTGAATTCAAATTCCACCGTCTGCTGTGGTGGGATTTGAACCCGGGTCCCCAGAACACTACCTGGATCTCTGGATTAATAGTCACATCGTAATACTACTAGACCATCATCTTCCTTTGTCTGTGACTGTCTGTGGATTTTGTATGTTCTATCCTTGTCTGTGTGGGTTTCCATCGGGTGCTGTGGTTTCCTCCCACAGTCCAAAGTAGTGCAGGTTAAATGGTTTAGCCCATACTAAATGCTGGGCTATGGGAATCAGGTGAGATGCTCGTCAGAGGATCAGTGCAGACTAGATGGGCTGAATGGCTTTTTTTCACTGTAGGCAGTCTTTTTGATTTTGAATTTTTTTATAAATTCATTCACGTGATGAGGGCAACCTTGGCTAAACTAGCATTCGATGCCCATCTCTTTTGCCTGAAGGCCAGTTAGGAATCAACCATATTGCTATACGTTTGGAGTCACATGTAGGCCAGACCAGGTAAGGATGGTATGTTCCTTCCCTAAAGGACACTAGTGAACCAGGTGGGTTTTTCCAACAATTGATAATGGTTTCATAGTCATCTTAGACTCTTAATTCCTGATTTTAAGGGTGGAGGACAGAAGAGATCCAGTAAAGTGCTGAAGGGAGTATAAATAGAATAAATAAAGGTACAGACAATGTCTAAAAGAGATGTGAATGGTCACATTATGAATGCTTGCCTTTCAAAAGTAGCTTGTATAGCACCTTTTTTTAACATAATAAAACATCCAAAGGTGTTTCAATGGGATATTGTGAAACAGAGTATGGCACTAAGCTGCAATAGGTGATATAGAGTAAGATGTTTAAAGTTTTACTTAGATGTTGATTTTAGGTCTCTATTAATGGAGGAAAGTGAGAGAGTTGGAAGTGATTGGTTGGAAATTCCAAATTAAAGCTCACTGATAAGTGAAGCACACCCACCAACAGTGGATCAATTTGTATCAGATGCTCAATTCTGAAATAAAATGACTGCAGATATCGTGGAGAGTTGTGGGGTTGGCATATATTCGAGATAGAGATGAGAGGCCATGGAGGATTTTGAAAGCAAGGATGCAAATTTTGAAGTCAAGATAGGTGTTACATGCCAATTACTGCAGGAATACAGCATTTAAAGGAACTTACTGCAGATTAAAGCAGGAACAGCAGAGTTTTGGATGATCTCAAGTTTATGAAGACGAAATGTAGGAGATCATTTAGGTGACTATTGGAACAGTCAAATCTAGACCAACAAAGATTGGATTCAGCTACTGATGAGTTAAAATGGGAGAGGTTGGATGATGTTAGAAAGGGAAAGTTGTGACCTTAATGGTGTGTGTACATGATCAGAAGCTTAATGATCCTACTTCAAATCAAAGGGAAAAGGGGTGGGAGCAAAATTAAAAACAAATCAAAGAAAATCAATCTGGGCAGCATGGTGGCTCAGTGGTTAGTACTGCTGCCTCACAGCACTAGGAACCCGGGTTCGATTCTACATTCGGGCGACTGTCTGTATGGAGTTTGCACATTCTCTCTGTGTTTGCGTGGGTTTCTTCCAGGTGCTCCAGTTTCCTCCCACAGTCCAAAGATGTGCAGTCTAGGTGGATTGGCCACGCTAAATTGTGTCCAGGGATATGTAGATCGAGTGGGTCTGGGTGGTATGCTGCAAGGGTCAGTGTGGACTTGTTGGGCTGAAGGGCCTGCTTCCACACTGTAGGGATTCTATGATCTATGATTCTATGAAAAAGGAAACAAAATGGAGGTAGAGATTACAATTTAAAGTTGTTCAACTCCTGTGTAATGTCAGAAGCTGAAGTGCACTGCCTCAAGCTTCCATGCGCTTAATTAGAACACTTCGAGAGGCCAACGTGAGAGAGATCAGAGTGGGAACGATGTGGAGAATTAAAGTTGCAGGTGGTTGCGAACACAATCATGCTTGCAGACTAAACGAAGGTGTTTTGCAAAGCACTCACTCGACTAGCCATGATGCTGACTGTTTAAGTATTAGCAAATCAAAACTTGTAACAAAAACAAACTAATTCTTTCAACCTAGACTGAGATTGTGCGAACTGAGATGTTTCAAGTGTTGTGAATACCATGACGACATCAGCAATTTTTTTGGCTCTTCCCTAATTGCCCTTCAAGTTTGTGGTGAGCTACCTCCCTGCTGCACTCTTCATGGTTTAGAAAGTGAATTCTAAGCTTTATAATCCAGTGACAATATCTTTCTAAATCAGAATGATTGTAAGGGAGTGGGGTGGCGGTGCTTCAGGTATCTGCTGCCCTTGTCCTTCTAGATAGTTGTTTGTAGGTTCGCATGGTGCTATTGAAGGAAGTTGCTGCAGTGCAGTTTGGAGATGGGACACTTTGCTGCCCCTGTGCATCATTTGATGAAAGGACTGAATGTTTAAGGATGTGGGGTGATGTTGAAATCAGTGAGTATTGCACTCATCGAGTGAAGAGTATCCATCACGCTCCTGATTTGTGCCTTTGCAGATGGCTAACAAACTTTGGGGAATCAGAAGGGGAATTATTAGCTACAGAATTCTCGGCCTTTTTACTATAGTGATAAGTGAGCGTTTTTATTTTGCTGGGCCAGTTCAGTCTCTAGTCGGTTAACCCCAGGATGTTGGCAATGCACAGTGGCGACAGTCATTTCCTGTCTCTTACATTCCACAGACAACTGAATCATTTGAAATGATACAAAATTTCATTTTAATCTTTTCTGATTTGTTCTAACTTCTTTCTGTTTCTCTATAATTATCTAATAGTTGTATGCCGTCCTTTGTTTACTGATAATCTAATGAGTGCAAACAATAATCTTCTACTGGAACATAACTAATTACCAATTGAATTACCAAAAGCCCATACAAATATTTACAAAGTTGTGCCTGAAATGTGCTTTGAAAATTAAATTTTCATTAATATTACTTTCTCCTTGATCTTAGCGGGTTGTGGAGCTGAATCCTGTACAGAAGGACATGATCCTGAAAGTAGCTGATTTGCTGTGTAGTAATGGAGACCTGCTTGATGGAAGAGCAGAATACTGGGTGGAGAAGGCAGCCAAGCATTTTCCTGCTAATGGAGTAGTTTACAAACTGAAGGTAAGCTAAAAATTTCATCTCTGTGTAACTTAAATAGTACAAGTAAATCAAAACTTGGGCTCTGATTCCTAATGCAGTGTCATTTTAAAAATGCAGTAGCTTTGACAATTGTATCATGTACTTTGGCTGCAGTAATGAGGTCCAAATGTAACAGTAATAGAAGTTTTTTATTTAAGAAAACTGACAGCTAAGATATTCATATAATCTTGCAATTGATTGTTTAACATTCCCTCAGCAAATAGAGTATTTGCATTATGGTAATCCTGGTGTATTTGAATACTAATATTTGGATTTATGACCCATGTAAGATTTTCGTCATTAATACTGTAACTACCTGTATTAAATTATCTTTATAGGTATATAGACATCTGGTTGAAAGACTGGAATACTAGAAAAAATTAACGTAGAGAAGAGGTAGAAGCAGGTTTAGCAACCTTAAGTGGATAAATCATCAGGCCTGCATGAGATGGCTCTCGGGCTATTGAGGGAACAGATAGCAGTGGTCTTGGGAGTAATTTTCAAATCCCCCTGGTCGCAGGTGAGGTGACAGAGGATTGGCGGACTGAATGTTTTCCCAATCTTCAAAAACTGGGAAGAGATAGATTAGGACATTACAAGCCAGTCAGTCTAACCTTGGTGATGGGCGAGAATTGAGTGACAGAATGTATTGCACTTGGAGATGCATGGAATTGTTAAGGGCAAGTCACATTTTGACCAATTTGGTTGAATTTTTTTAAGGTGCACACGAAGAAAGTTGAACAGAGTAATGCATTTAATGTGGTCTGCATGGACTTTAACAAAGCGTTTGAGAAGGTTCCTCATGGCAGACTAGCTAAGAAATTAACAGCCCATGGGATTCAAGGCAAAGTGGCACGTTAGATCTAAAATTGGCAGAAAGGCAGGAGGAGTGGGTGATGTTAGAGAGAGATTTCAGCGACTTGAAGTCTGTGTTCAGTGGGTTCAGTGCTGTGGCCCTTGCTGTTTATGGTGTACGTTAATGATTTAGACTTAGATTATATCCCCCGCATTTAAATTCATGGATGATAAAAGTTTGGAGGGTGATATATGTCGATAGGATAGTCCTAAACTATGTGATGACACCAATAGACTGGTCAAGTGGGAAGAGTTATTGCAAATGGAAATCAACCTTGAAAAGTGATGTAATGCAGCTAAAGAAGGCAAACGATTGCGCTATGAATGGCAGACCCTGGAAAGTACTGAAGATCAGGGGAAGCTTGGTGTGTATCTCCACAGCTCTCTGAAGGTAGTATGGCAGATAGACAAGGTACTGAGAGGCATATGGGGCACTCTTTTCAGCTGAAGCATGGAATGCAAGAGCAGGGAGTTTATGTTGGAACTGTATGAAATGTTGGTTAGGTACAGCTGGAGTACTGTGTGAAGTTTTGGTCACCAAATTTATAGGAAAGTCGTGATTGCAGTTGATGCACAGGAGATTATCAGGATTTTGGAAGGTCTGAGCTGTGAAGAAAGATTGGATAGTTTGGGGTTTTCTTCCTTGGAGCAGCAAAGATTGAGAGAGGATCTGATAAAAGTATATTCGAATATGAGGGGCAAAGATAGGGTGAGTAACAAGGCATTTTTTTTTCATTAACAAACTCAACTAGGGGGCGTAGGTTTGAGAGTTAAGAAAAATTTTGCTTGGGTGCTGATAGCAGTCTTCTGGAACTTGCAGTCAGAAAGAGTGGTTAAGTCAGAAACTCACCTAACATAAGCTGTGTTTTGATGTTCACTAGCCTCCATGGTTATGGGCCAAGAACTGTAAAATTGGATTATTGTAGTCAGATCTTTGACCGCGTGGACACAATGTATTGAATGCTCTCTTGTATTGTAAATGCCTGAGTCTCTCTCTCTTTTGCTTTCCTCTAAAGGAGAAGCTGCTGAGCACAAAGGGACAATTGGACAATTCTCAACTATTCGACCTTATTCAGTCAGAGTTGCATTCAAGGCCCAATGATCCTCATGCCAATATACGTTTGGTGGAATTCTACTGTTCTGTTGGGAAATTTGAAGAAGCTGTGAATTTCTGTATCAGCACTGAAAAGAAAAGAACCCTTTGTAAATGTCTGGAATGGTACACCTGCATGGTACAGACATTGAAGGTGTGTAAACATGTTATGTTTTTACATTGTTCCTGCAAGCAATATGCACTTATCTTTTTAAAAAAACTAAGTAGCAAGCTGCCAGATTATGTCATGTAAGCTGAACTTCACATTGACCTAAGTTTATTCTCTCAGATCTGAAACCTTTTTGAAGTAACCTTTATCTACAAAGGTAGTTACAAAATATGTAACTAATATATACACTTTTGAAGAACCAATCACTGTTTGTATTTTAAGTGGTATTCTATCAGAGAGCATGTCTGTGACATTCACTATCTTTGTACTGTCCTGCAGAACTATATCAGTTCATCAAATGTTTCATCAGCTGATAAGAGCAAATGGAGATTCTTGCAGAAGGAATTGCTCCTGGCATCAACTAATCTTATGTTCCTGACATTATCAACCAGAAATGTCCCAGACGTTGTAAATGCTCTAATGAGGTAACTTTTATTCTAATTTACTATTTGTTCTTCTGATTTCATTGACTTGAGCTGACCTTGTCTTGTTTGAGACCCTGGTCTTATTTCCATTGGTCACCAACTGCCCCAGCTTGGTCCATGTTCGCTGATATTATAAATTCTGCTCAAATTCATAAATGATGTCCTTTGTTACTTTTACAAAGATAAAGCTTCTCTTGTTATCCTTCTCAACCTTTCCCTCAGCCTTTGACATGACAGACCACACCATCCTGTTTTGCCCTTTCTCCAGTTGGGTAGGACTGCTGCAACATTGTATCAGCTTATACAATTATGATACATCACAGGAACAGACACTTCAGCCCACCAAATCTGCCCCAATTCCTGATTCTTATTTATACCGGCTACTTGTTGCCTATACGTGGTTTCTATCCCTCTGTTTGTTTGCCTCCCGTTCAATCAAGATGTGCCTTTAATGTTGCTAACGTGCCTGTTTCCACCACTGGTAGTGCGATCCAGGCGTGGTATTTCGGTGCGAAAAATTTTTCCTGCATTTCTCCCCTAAACTCTCCCCCTCTCACCTTGAGCCCGTGCCCTCATGTCTTTGACCTTTCCACCCTGGGGAGAAAGCCTCCAACTATCCACATTATCTATGCCTCTCATAATTTTGTGGACCTCTGTCATATCGTCCCTTAGCCTCTATCTTTCCAGTGAAAACAGTCCAAGTTTATCTAAATTCTCCTCATAACTAAAACCCCTCAGGCCAGCCAACACCCTGATAAACTTTCTTTGTACTCTCTCCAAAGTATTCATGTCCATTTGGTCAGAATGGAACGCAATATTCCAAATGTGGCTTAACTAAAGTTTTATACAATTGTAATGTTACTTGCCAACTTTTATATTTGATACCTTGGCCGATGAAGGCAGTATGCCTTCTTGGCCACAAATTTCCACCTGTGTTGCCATTTTCAGGGATCTGTGGACCTGTATGCCTAGAAATCTCTATGTCAATGCTCCTGAGGGTTCTACCATATATTGGAAATTTTGCACCAGAATTTGACCTTCCAAAATGCATCACCTCCTGTTTACCCGGGTTAAACTCCATCTGACGCTTCTCTGCTCAAATCTGCAATCTTTCTCTATCCCTCTGTATCCTTTGACAATCCTCCTCACTATCTCATCTCTTGGTGTACTATTATCTCTGGGTTGACTGTGCCAAAACACTGGCTGTTTTTTTTCCCCCCAGCCTACCCTCTGTAATCTTGAGGTCATTGAAAACTCTGCTCATGCTGCAAGTCACATTCCCTTATCCCTATGCTTGCTGACCTGCATGAGCTTTCAAGCAAACAAAATCTTGGTTAAAATTTTTTTTTTTTGAATCAAAGCCTTCCCTGGTTTCACACTATCTCCAGTCACTTCCAGCCCCGCAACCCTTTGTAAGAATATGCACTCCTTTATTTCTGGCCTGTTGTTCATCTACAGTTATAACTGCTCCATCTTTGGTGATTGTGCCTTTAGTAGATCAGCCTCAAGCTCTACAATGTTCTCTGTACACCTCTTTGCCTCTGTCCTTCACTTTTTTCTTCTTTGTGACACTCCTTAAAACCTACCTCTTTGAGCTTTTTGTTACCTGACGTGATGCTGCTTAATGTCATATTTGTTTTTAGTGATTCTGTAAAGTTTCTTTGTACCTTTTCATGGTTCTAGGTGGTATACAAAGTATTTGATTTCACTGGTGTTTCCTTTCATGTTATCACTTTCCATTTTAACAGAGGCTATTACTGTGTAAATGCAGTTGATTAGGAATGTGAATCTTTGAAATTCTCTATCCCAACTGGTTATGGGTGCTCCATTGTTTATTCAAACCTGAGGACTTTTGGATTGTCAGGGAATTCAGTGATTTGGGGAGCAGGTGAGAAAGTGGAGTTGTGGTTGACTTCAGTGGCTATACGATCCACTCTTGTGTTCCAATGGAAATCGGTAAAGTAATACTACAAATTTAATCTGAATTTGAAGACCTGTGGTTATGTGATTGAAATGATACTAGGCAGTAAACCTAGTCTGTTCCATTTAGTGTGGAGTTGAGCAGGAGATGATGGCATAATAGTAATGTCAACAGAGAGCAGTCTGGAGCTCTAGACCAATGTTCTGCATGGGTTCAATACCACGACAGATGATGACATTTGAATTCAATGAAGAGAAATCTGGAATTAAAAAGCAAGTCTAATGGTGATGCTGAACCATTGTCGATTATCACTAAAACACTTAACATCCTGCAGGGAAAGAAATCTACTATCCTTAACTCATCTATATATGACTGTAGACCCACAACAATGTGGTTGACTCTGGTCTAGCCTTTTCATAAGGCAGTTAAATCAGCTCAGCGGCAACCAGGGATGGGCAAGAAATGTTGACATTGCAGTGACACTCCGATCCCTTGCAAGAATAAAGAGAAGATGACTGGTTCCATGATCACTTCATTAGGCTACCAATCTTGCAGATTTTAGAGCAGCAACACCCATCAATTCAGTGGCAGCAGAGAGAGAGAGAGAGTAAGGTGTGCTGTTGAAATTGAATATACTTGCAGATATTGTCTGGAATTTTGCTTAATGACACTTGCGGAGTGAGTTTGGGCAGTTTATTACATAACTATTGAATAAGGGAAAGATTATTGGATAACATAGGAATGTAACTTGACAGCTGAGAAATAGAAGTAGAGGTAAATTTGGTATTAGCTAACGTTTATGTTAATTTGTGAAGGTATTTTACATCCAAAGTCCAAACCAGTGGAATAACATCTTTTTAAAGATGGGGATACAGGTAATTCTACTATAACACGATAGTTGCGTTCTTGTGTGACCTCACGTTATAGAACATTGTGTTATAGGGAAATCGCTATTCTGTACAGTATAAGGTTTGCGTTATCCAAACGGCGTTCTGTATTATTCAGTTGCATTACAGCCAATTCGCGTTAATGAAACATGCGTTAAAGCAGAGATACCTATAAATATCCTGTCAAATGCAAACACGAGGGTATTTTAAGCACAAGTTTTCCCATAATGGTTAGTTTGTTGTGTGAACTTTTGACCATTCACTAATGCCTTTTTGTATATTTTGCTATAGTTTTGATTGTACAATGTATATTGCAAAGTCATACTTAACTTCAACAATGGATGATCTTTCGGCTACTTTCACCGAAATGAGAGGACATCTGTATTTACATGCTGGAACGTTACTTCTAAAAATGGCTCAACATAATGCGATTCAGTGGAAAGCAGTTGTAGACCTTGCAGCATTGTGCTACTTAATTGCTTATCAGGTAGGTTTCACCAGTGCTTTGTAGTTGCTGATCAGTGCCAAGAAAGTGCTGCAACTGAGATGGTTTCTAATAGTATTGCTGTACTAAAGAAATGAGTATATTTCCAGGTTCCAAGACCCAGGCTGAAATGTCTAAAGGCAGAAGAGACAAATCAGGAAATGATTAATTGGTTAGCATCAGATAGACAAAGTCAGTCAGGTAATATTTTAATTACGTCTTTTTTAAAATTAACTCTGATATGTACAGAAGAGGTTTTGCTAGCTTTTTGTTCCACAGTTTGTGCTAATTGACATTCTAACAGACTAGTTTCTTCTGTTGTTGTAGGGCATATGTTAATAAGTTTAATGTCGGGAAAGCCTGACTTTCACAAAGAAGTGGTGGAGACTTTTGCAAACAAAAGTGGCCAGACTGCATTAATTGAAACATTGTTTGGAAGTCAGATATCTGTTGAAAGGTCATTTCTTGCCAATGATGATATCAGAAATGTTACAGAAGAACACCCAGATCTGAATGAACTCATAAAATGGGATGATGGTAAGAGCTTTTGATTTTAAATATTCCTCTGTTTCAGTCCTTAGTTTGTGCTGTCACCTTTGAATGACCTGGTTAGTTTAGCTGGGGCATGAGGTAGCCAAGGTATTCTGATTTTTTTTTAGTCGTCTTCTGTAGTTTTCTTTTTTGAAATGAGGGAAAGAAAGTCATCTTGAATGTGTTCTGTTAGGTTGTCTAATGAGTGTTTATAGAGTAAAAAGTAAACTTTAATTAAATTAGTGTGATAAAGAAAATGTTAGTTTTCAGTGAAATTAGTCCCCCATCAGATTTTAATTGCCATTTACAGTTTAGACTAAATAATTTAGATGGATCATTGCTTGTCTCTGCTTATGTAATTTATATGATAGACATTTTTGTTTTTTGACTTTCAGCTTCTGTTAAATTGCATGGTGGAAATTTGCAACATCTTGCTTGGCTTGGTTTACACCAGTTTTCAATGGAGCAGTTACCTATGGTACGAAATTGGCTTAAGCAGTTGTTTCCTCGACTGCCGCAAGAAACCTCACGGCTTGAAACCAATGCTCCTGAGACTATTTGCATTTTAGATCTTGAGGTAGGATTAAAACAGTAATCAATTTTAACTTTTACCAAAAATGAATTATCTTGCCTATATTTAAAATTACATTTTTTATTTCAGGTTTTTCTTCTTGGAGTGATTTATTCATGTCATACGCAGTTACAGGATAAATCAGACCTTCACTACAGTATGCACCAACCAAAGTGCATGCCACTGCCAATCAGCAAACTGCTGTATACAGAGCGACAGAACGCTTGGTGGGATGCTGTCTACAGCCTTGTCTACAAAAAAGCACAGTAAATATGTTCATGATTTTTAAGTCTAACTGCATTTTTTTTAAAAACATTACTATATTGGGAAACATTAAACTTTATTACACCGCTTTTCTTTTAGACCGGGTACATCAGCTAAACTAAGACTATTGATTCAGCGTGAACTTGGTACATTGAGGGCACTAGATAAGCACGGACTTCAACCTGCTCTAATTATACACTGGGCACAAAGCCTCATTAACATTGTAAGTCTCAATTCCTGTACTATTTAAGGAAATGTGATACACTGGCAAATTTTGGATGCTGAAGCATGAAATTCTTAATATAACCCTTCGTGTGACATCTGTGCAGTCACCTAATTTGTAAAGATTGTGCACTACTTTGGGATCATCCTTGAACATGCCACTTTCCAACTCCCTACTGTGCTGGCTGGCATTGCTTCTTCAGGACACCGCCACCCCCAGAAACCTGACCTGAACTGACAGGTCAAGCTACCAGTCCATCTCCAAACAGTTCATGTGTGATGGTTGCTCTTCAATCTGTCATATCTTTCTATTCTATTGCTCATTTGAATCTCTGCAATCAGATTTCTGTTCTACCATAATGTTGAGATTGTTCAGCAAAATTGTAAGTGGCATCTAACATTGCTTTATGCCCATCTTAAACTTTCTGTATCAATCATCTTCCTGAAATACACCTTTTTTCTAGCTGTCAGATTAGACATTTTTGTTTCCACTTCACCAATCCAAACATAGTAAGGACATTTCCAGCTCTATCTTCTCTTCTGCTGCTACACCCGTTATCACTTGGCTCATTTCCCTATGTAATCTATATTTGTACTTCAGGACATCACTTTTTGGTGACATCATTTACTGGCTCTTGTACTATACCCTGATCGCGTGTGTGTGCAAAAAAAGTACATGCGTGCAATGTGTTTAAAAAAATGTACGTACGTGTTGTGTTTATAATTTTTTTTAAAAAGTGTGCGCACTCATGCACATGCCCATGGTTATTGTTAGCCAATAACTGGAATGAGCTGCAAGTTCCTCTATTCAAATATAGGAGGGACTAAAGCCTTTGCCTGTATGATAGCCAGTCTCACTAATTCCACTTCTCACCTGCTAACATTGCCTCAGTTGTTGAATCAGAATTTGCAGCCTGCATTTTGTTTGCTTTTTAAAGTACGGTTCAAAGTTTTTGCCCTGTTCTGTTGTAACTTTGTTTCACCAGTATAATTTCAAAACTACTGATGTGCAGCTCTAACACTTATATTTTTTTCTCCATATAGGGAAGTGGATTAGATTCATACTACGATCAAAAAGAATACATTGGACGGAGTGTCTACTACTGGAGGAAAGTCCTGCCCTTATTACAGAGCATCAGAAAGAAAAGGAGTATTCCTGAACCTATCAATCCTTTGTTTCAACATTTCCGTAGCAAGGATATCAAGGTAACAATATGCCTTGCATGCAGTTCATCACCTGTGAATTGGATACAGTTATGATTATGCCTTTAACAAGGGATCATTGCAGAGTATAAGGCATTTGTTGCTGTATTAAACTGAACACTTGCAATTACATTTCCATTGGCAGAACTAGTGTTTAAAAGCACACTAAGTTTATTCATTTATTAGATGTAATAACGCTTAGATGACAGTTCCAATTGTGCATAATAACTAGAATTTTATATGCTATCCTTTAACATATGTCTAGCTTGTAGGCATACCTTCCAGTCATTTGTTTCATTGAAAAATTACTGCAGATGCAAATACTACAGAAAATATCTTTAGGAATAACTATTGACTTTATTCTTCTAATCAAATTTGATATCACTTTTTTACATAACTTTTTGGAACAGTAAATACAGATATTTTTAATTGACCTGTTCAAAGATGTTACTACACACATCTGGAGCGGGTGGGACTTGAACCGGGCCTCCTGGTTGATGTGTAGGGATACTAGCAGCAGGTATATACTATGTCGTTCTGATCTTTCACAGCTGTAGTCATCAGGTTCAATATGATGAACGGATACAGCTGAGGAGAAACCGTTGATTAAGATTTGAGGAGAACTTTGAGCAGGTCTTTGTTTTTTCATGTGCTTTTAGTCGTAGCATCAGAAGCACTTTGTACTTTCACAACTCTGACCAGGATTCATAAACATGATGTTTACTTATTCAATTATGAATAATTTTGAATAGTCTCATGAAAATAAAAATATTTTCTGTCCCTTTGGTAAAACTGCAAATGAAGAGGTGTGTTTAGGAAGGAGAAATACAAATTAAATCATGTTGACTCATTCTTAGAGCAAGCTGAAACATGCTTTTCTATATTAAATGCAGATTTATGTTTGTATTTCGCTACAGTGAAGAAACATGACTTCATAAAACAAAAATTGCATACTGTGCTAATGTTTCCAAATTTAAATGAGTGTTTTCACCATTCTCATTGCTCATAGTATTGTGAGCAATGCCAGGTGAGATCTGTTATCAATGAACTGCATGATCTGAAATTTCTAAATTGAAAATTTATTTGGAAATATGCAAGAACCATTTGATATCCATGCCTCAGAAGACAGTTTGTTGTAAAGTTATTATCCTTGGAGAGGAAGCCAACTATGTAGTTTAGCAAGTCCCTGGGGTTGGGGTGGGGGGCAGATACAATCATGGGATTATGTGAATTGAGTTGGAAATGTTCTTTCAAAATTTATTTGGCTGATTCAACAGCTTTTGGAATAAAGAAATAAAAGTGATGTTTGAATAATTTTCAGGGAAAACTGAACGAGTCTCTGGGTAAATAATAATTGGAAGCAAGCAAGTGGGCAGAGCATTTGGGACTTGATAGGTTATGAATGATTGATTGAGAAAAATGAGATTAAAAGTGAATGGAAAAGAGGAGGAAAAATGAAAAGAAACATTTTACCAAAAAAATCCAAGTAGGTTATTCTATTTATGAGGCTGATGGACCTTTTGGGAGCAGAGAAGCAATGAAAAGTGGAGAACCATGTGTGAGGACCTGATGGAATACAACTGAAGAAACCAGATGAAGAGCTTTAGTTCGGAGGGAATGTTGGGGGTGGGGGTGCACGGAAACAAACTGAAGTTACTTCCCTGGGATTAAAATTATTCCCTGATTTCAGATTTTCAAGATAAGTTTGGAAAGAATAGAGAAATGTTATTTCCTCTGTTGAGCAGGTCAATGACAAAGATCATAAATTTGCAGTCATTGGCGAAAACTCTACAAGGACAGCAAGAATTTATCTTTGTGTTGGGTTCGGGAAAGCTCAATTGAAAAATTGGTGGAAACCTTTTGAAATCTTATGAAAGGAGGTGGAAAGGCCGAGGAATTTAGAATTAGCAGGAATTGGAGATGTGTGATGAAAAGTGCGAGCTAAATAACTGCCTTCTATGCTATTCTCAGCATTCTTCCTGCAATTTGGCTGGTTTGCTTATGTCCCATCATCCAGTGCAATTAAATTGGAATTTAGTTTATAGTTCATTCACCTCATGCGCTTTCACCTTTTAAAATACATATTCATGGTCTTGCATTGAAAACAAAGTACTAGAAAATTCAGAGCATCTGTGTATTACGGTGATTGTTTGCTATCAGAGCTACAGAGTTAAATTGAAAGAGGGAGAAATAGCCAGCAACATACAAGCAAATTGTAACAGTTTTTAGAAGTATGTTGAAAAGAGTTCAAATAAATGCTAGTCTTTTTGAAACGGAGGCAAGATGAATTATCACTGGGAATGAGGAAAGTATAGAGATGTTGAACAAATATGTTGTGCTGCTCTTCATAAGAGGCAACTTAAATACCAGAAATAGGGGGTAACTTAGGGACTAATGAGTGAGGAAATGAAAGTAATTAGTATCGACAGAGAACAGTATTGGAGAAATCTAAGGGGCCACAAATTTAACAAACTCAATGCTATCTGATGGTTTATACCCGGGTAACCCAAGTGGATTTTGATCTAAAATTTTGGGGTCTCATGTTTTTGAGGTGGCATTTTCCACTGTGGAGCTCTAACTATGTTTTAAAGCTGTGCTCTAACTTCTCCTATTTTCTCAGTTCTCACTGAAGGATCACAGTTTTTAAACCTTGAAATGTGGTCATAGTGAGGAAGAATTTGTGAAGCCCTGGCTTACACCCATTGGTCATGAAAGTCATGGCTGCAAGGCTTGCAGATGCGCTGGCTATAATTTTCCAAAATTCCCTCTCTTCCGTAATGGTCCCACCAGATAGACAGTTCGCAAATACAGAACATTGTTATTAAAGGAGGGAGAGGGGAATTGAAGAGCAAAAGGCTAGTTAGTTTGCTTTCAATCAGTTTCTGCGACATGGGATACTTGAATTTTACCTGTGCTTTGGAGTCACATTCTGTGGCTCAATTTTATCACAAATATCAAGACTAATACTTTGGTATTTCAGCAAGAAAGGGTGCTTATTCATGAAATGTTAAACCATAGAACAGAATATTACATGTTATAATTTCTAATGCTTCTAGGGAAAGCATGGTTTTGCTGTGAATTCATAAAGATTATTTCAGCTGGATTTTCTGCAGCTCTTATTTGGAGCATTCGCACAGGAGACAATGTGCAATGTACAGTGGTTTTGTTTGAAAATTCATAGTATATATTCACATACCTATACCATAAATGTATGAAGTTGTCCATTTATTTTAGGTTACTGAAGTTGAGGATTATGAAAAGGAAGTGGAAATCGCTTTTGCTACGCTTGATGTAGTTGATGGAAAAATTGACGAGGCAATTGCTGCTTTTGAATCTATCAATAATATTGTTGCACATTGGAATCTTGCTTTGGTAAGTTACTGCTGGGGTGTCTTTTTTAATCTCTTGAACAAGTCTGCCAGTGTTAATGTAACTTTGTTTTAACTGGTTTTGTTAGATATTTCACAGGAGATCGGAGGAATATGAAAATAGCAATGAAATGGCTTCTGATGAGCAAGAACAATGTAAAAATTGTTTACTCAGCAGTAAAGAATACCTCAGAAAGGTCTTGAATGAAGCTGAATCAAACTTTGCAGCTATACACAGTGTAAGTACCAATGAATTAAAAGACAGTAAAGAGAAAGATGCTTTTATAGCCACCTATTGTGAATGAAATTAAGGTTATTTGAATCAAAAAATTACAGTATTTAGAAACAAATTCAGATGAAATTGACAGAAAAATTGCTAAGCCTTTTTGGGTAAAACAATGGCCAATTAGAATTTAGTTCTGGACTTTATTAGTCATTGTCATATCATGCAGGTTTAACATTAATTTTTGATTCTGTAGCGCTTAAAATATTTATCCATTGAAAACTTGAGCAATATAAAAAAAATTCTAGGCTTGTCTCTTTGCCTTTGCTGATCTAGAAGATCATCACCTTGTACTGGAGAAGGTGTCAAAATTGATCTCTGCGCCGCAGTTAAAGTAATAAAAATCTGTTAAGTGTACTCCGTTCCCTGTTCAGTGACTCCTGCAAATTTATTACTTTAAGATCTGGCAACACAATGAATGGCCTACTGAATGGTGGGCAGTGCCCTCCAAGCGCACAGAACCATGGTAGCCCATTTAGCTCCTTGAGCCTGTTGCATTCTTAATGAGATCATATGGCCGATTTGTGAAGTAAACTTTTTGTTGGCTTTTGTCCCATATCCCTTCATACCAATGGTGAACCAAAAAAATTAATCTTCAATTTAAAATTAGCAATTGAGATTTGAAGAAGATTGTTCCAAACTTCTTTTCTCTGTGTAGAAGTGTTTCCTGATCCACTCCTGAAAGATCTGGCTTTCAATTTTCTCTTTTAATCTATTCCACCTTTCTGAGACTCCTCAAACAGCAAAAATAATTTGCCATATCAGTTCCCCTTAATATTTTGAAATTGAATCAAATCTTTCCCCCAATAAACTTCTAAATACTACAGCTGCAGCTTGTCTAATCCCCTCGTAATTTAACCTTGAAATCCAGGTATCATCTGCTTTATCTTTCCTGCAGTCCAAAGACCAGAACTGTTATAGTACTCTAGATGTGGTTGGACTATAATTCTGAAGAGCTTATTTCTACCTGCTATATTCCAACCTTCTAAATAGATGAACAAAGATTGTATTTGCCTTTTTGATTTTTCTTTTTTACTTTTTGCCTGATCAATTGTGCAGAAACCTTAAAGCTCCTCTGCAGGCTGTACAGAATTTAGACCCTTAACTTGCTTTGTATGCACAGACACAAAAAAAATTAAAGGAGCTGCATGGTTGCACCACTTGCCCATGCACTCCCCTCAAGAAAAAGTCAATTGTTTGCCTCCTGGAACTCCATGTCTCTGTTTTTTCAGCAGAAGTACAATGTTCTAACATTTGTTTGGGCTCAAAGTGAATGATATTATATTTGCTGTCGGTTTGTTCATTCACTTAATCTATTAGGCTTTAAAAAATTTAATGCTTCAAGCCACACTGCTTAAGCTTCTGGCTTTGTGACATTGCTGAGTGGGAATATGTGATTTTCTCTCCCATCCTCTAAGGGAAAAGTTAGGAAACCATGAATAAACACAGTGATTAGTTGAGGCTACAACATGGATCCTTGCACCACACAATAATCTACCAATTAGCTACATGTCAACCGTACCTATCTAATCTCCTACCACTCGACAAATTTCACAACCAAGTCAATAGTTTTCTTCCATTTCATGAACTTTAACTTCAGTTGTTTCTCCTTGGAATTCATCAAGTATTTTCTGGAGTCTCCTGGCTAATTGCTATTTGGCTAAAACTTTATGGATGCTTACCATTTGGTAAAGAGGAGAAGAAATTTTCATTTACACTTGATGTCCAAAAGTACTTGAGACATTAAACTGAGGCCAGATCTTCCTGTTCAGCTGTAGACTATTTCACAAAGACTGAAGACTGCTCTCAGTATTCCTGCCGTTGCCACAAAATGTCCATTACCTCAGTTGTTGTTTATAGGACCACGTTCAAGTTGCCTGTGGCAGCAGATTGCATAAGTTACACGTTGCAGAAGTCATTGATTTGTCTTTTTTTGGTGTACTTCTGTCAATTGCTTAAAGGAGGTGAAGTTTCTTTAGGTTGGGTAATAGGGCTCCCTTTCTCAAGTGAGCACTTGGAGAAAGCAATCATTTAGAAATAGGCACTGTTTAATGCCCATCCTCAGTTTTTTGAAACAGTCTCTAACTTTTATGGTTAAACAACCTCTTTCACTATGGTTTCAACTAAAAGTTTACGGTTTTTTCCTACAAGTTGCCTGTATCAATAGGTACAGTGAAAGAAATGCTGGAGTTGGTAAATCAACATCTTCAAGAATATAATGGAGATGTACTTGACCATGGGGAAGAAATAAATGACAGTTCTCAGACAGCTGAAAATGGCACTTCTATGGAGTCATTACAAGTTAAACACTCTACCCCATCTCCAACAAAGCTTACTCCATCACCAACCAAGAGCTACAAGGTAAATTTAATGGTTACAAATTATTGTGTACAAAAGGTAACGTAGTATACTGTAGTGCAGAAATAACTTTTGGAGTGGTGATGTTACAAAATGTAAATTTGCCTAATTCTCCATGAGCTGCTTTGGTGAAGATTGAGAACAATGATCTCCCCCAGCAAGCTCTGTCCCAATTTGTACGACAGGCTGAGTCTGTCCATGTTAGGCCCATTTTTCCATTTTTTTCTGTTTACTTTAAAGGGCACTGCTATCCTGGCCATCTGTGGGTTGTGGAGATGGCAAAGGGAGACTAATGGGACTGAATAGCATGAAAATCAGACCTAGGATGGTCATAAATGGCGAGCCATGTGATGGGCGAGACATGAGATAGGTGGTTGGCAGCAAGGAGAAGAGGCTTCATTCCAAATAAGTGCTGCTGTAGCAGAGCAGTTATAGAATCATAGAGTCATTCAACATGGAAGCAGACCCTTCCGTCCAGCCAATCCACACTGACCATGTTCCCGAACTAAACTAGTCCCACTTGCCTGCTCTTGGCCCATGTTCTTCCAAATCTTTCCTGTTGATGAACTTGTCCAAATGTCTTTTAAATGTTAAAACTGCACCTTTAAAAGGCATTTGGATAATTTAATGACTAGAAAAGTTCGGGCTCAAAGAAGCCCTGGAAACTGCCAGGTGCCGCTTGGATTATAAAACAAAGAAATGTGGATGCTGGAAATGAAATAAAAATTACAGCACAAACTTAGCAGATCCGGTAGTATCTGTGGAGAGAAAGCATAGTTAATGTTTCAGGTCCAGTGACCCTCCTTCAGAACTATGTACAGTTTGGAGTTTGAAGCCATGAGAACCACTCAGATCATTGGGGACTTGGAGGAAAACCTGAGAACCATTACTATTCAGTATAGTGCATTGGAGACCAAGAAAGCCCACAAATGCTAATTGCTTAGTGCAGATGAGAGATTTGGAGTTCTGAGAGACTAATGGGTTACATCAGCTTAATGAAACTAGTATCGGGAGGAACTGGAATTATGCCAATGAGTTAAGTGTTGAAGGGCAGTTTAGGAAATTTAGTGGAACATGGTCTCTGGAAGAGATCAAATTTGAAGTAGTCTGCAACTGAGCAACCTCGGAGGACATTCTAAAATTAAACCTTTAAAAAGTAAAGAATTGGAATCCCTTGAAAGGGAGACAGTTTTTAATGTGAATTGCTGACCCACAGTGTCACTACCATTTGAGGAGAGATGCAGGAAAAGATAATGGGATTTGTCCTGACCGCATTTGCTATTTAATGTCCTCTATTGGGTGTTCAACAACAGTTTGTCTAACTGTATTTATCTCGATACTTCCGGATGTTGGAGAAAAAGGGATGGTTATATGTGTTGTTTTGACGTTCTAACATTGCAGTGTGTCGTTATCGTTTGTTCAAAACTAAAAGTTTGTGGCTTCAGTAACTACCTGAAATGTTAAACATTGTCTATTTTAAACAAACAAGTCTCTCGCCAGAACATAGTATAAGTTTGGCTGTCCTGACAGGGATCGTACAATGTTGTTGAAAAATACTCGCTCTCCTCTCTGCTACTTGTTTCTTTGTTTCATGTCATGTACTCTATCAAGAGTTCCCAGATCAGGGGTACTTAATTGTTTTCTTCATAGCGCACCTTTAAATAAATGAAATATGTAGTTCGTGATTGAAAATGTCAAAATCATTTATATGTGTAAGACCAACTGAAAGCTAAATTCTTGATGCTTTGTTTTAAATGACCAAGAAATTGAACGACTACACTGATATTAATATGATAGATACTCGCAGTTCCCTAAAGTTTGAAAGGTCTAAGGGCAGGATGATTTAATTTAACAGAATAGAAGTTGTGGGAAGTGTTAAAACCATTCCATTCTGCATATTTTACTCAAAGTTTTTTTTTTTAATAACTGGATATAAACCTTAATCCTTGTTTTGTCTTCAGTGGTCTCCAAAGACTCCACCTCGTTGGGCTGAAGATCAGAAACATTTATTGCAGATGCTTTGCCAGCAAGTAGAACAGCTGAAGGTACGTATATTTACAAGTATAGAAATTTAGTGTGGTTTAGCTGGTGAAATTATGTATATTTTGACCCTTTTTTATGATTCTATTATTGCTACTTATACACATCTTCCAGCCTAAATATCTGTGATTTTTACCAGTTGTGGTAGATTGTTCTATATCCAGTTTCCATCAAGTAAGTTACAATTGTCTTATGTAGGCTAACATAATTAACAAATTTATGAAGTAGCAGTGAATTTAATAATACACTTAGTGTACTAAGCTACTTAGATGAAATTATCTAAGCATAAAATCTGATGAAACTATTATGCATAGAAATAGTTCATTAGAAAGACCAGTCAATTCTATTTGCTGCTGTAATAAGAGAACATACTGAAATTCATAATGATTTATCTCAATAAACGTCACTAATTGAGATGTCCTATGTTGGGTGGTGGGGGCAAGGGTAGGGTGGCAGAAACTTGTCATTCAGTGTAAATTCAGTTGTGATATCCTGTTAGATCTTGTTTTGAAGAATACGAATTATATTTGAACCTGTATTCAGAGTAGAGGGAGGTGTGTGTTCCCTAATAATTTCTTTCAGGTGTCCTTCAGTGTGAGTGTTTTCCGAAAGAAGCAATGCTTGCAGTATTAGTTCCACTATTTTCCTTTGTAAAATGCAGTTTCAAAGAGCTTGAATATCAAGGTTCATGTCCATGTTGTTTTAACTTCTACATTTTAATAAATACATTCATTTTTAAAAAAGTGAAGTTGTGATCAATGAGTTTTTTTTATAATGCTGCAGGATGAAGTACGTGAACTCAAGCTAAATAATTCAAATACAACTGAATCACCACATCCTCGATGGCGCACGGATAGTTATGGTGCAGATAACCATCCAGAAGGTTACCAGGGTGCGCACAATTTTCAGGGAGCACCTTTAACAGGTAAATTGAATACTAACTGTCACTTTCATCTGCAAAATTTGCTGAAGGGTAAAGCATACGAATGTGTGAAATAGGAGCAGAAGGAGGCCATTTCAGACTCGTGAACCTGCTCTGCCATTCAATGAAATCACAGCTGATTATGTTGACCTCAGCTGCAGTTTCTTACCTAGTCCTAATAATCTTTGACTACTTTGTTTAGTCATGAATCAGTCTACTTCTGCTTTAAATGTATTTAATGATTCTGCCTTGCTGTTTGAAGAAGGCAGTTCCAAAGCCTCATGACCCCCCCGAAAGGAAACATGCTGCTTCAACTCTATCTTAAATGGAAGGTCCCTTATTTTTTAAACTCTGTCCCTTTGTCCCTTTGTTTTATTTTCTCCCACGAGGGGAAATATCCTTTCGGCATCCACCATGTCCAGTCCCCTCAGTATCAATAAGATCATGTCTCTTTCTTATTCACTGTGGTGAATATTGACACCCCCTCAAGATAAAAACCCACATCCCAGGTGTTGGTCGAATGAGCTGTCTCTAAATTGCTTCTGTCTTCTATTCTTTCTTTTGCAAGATCAAAACTACATCACTGAACATCCCTACTTTGCCATTTATTCCAAGTGGAATGCAATATAATGTTTAATTTGCCTTCCTGATCACTGGCTGTACCTGCATACTGATTCAAGTTTGAGAGTATTGAGATCTCTCTACACTTTTGAGTTCTATAGTTCCTCTGCACTTTAATATGCTGCATTTCCATCTGGCTGTCACAATAGATAAGTTCTCATTTTTGTACAATCTATTCCATCTGCCAAATGTTTGTCCACTTAAGTAACCTATCTATATTTCTTTCAAACATCTTGTATTCTATTCAAAACTTAATTTCCTCTTTTTCTTTGTGTCATTAAAAAAAATTAGCAAGTATACATTTAGTTTTCAATCTTTGTCATGAATAAAGATCAACAATCAAAGTTACCTTGTTTTTAATGCACAAAATAGCAAGGAAGTTACCATCTGCCAAAATCTGCTAATGCAGCCTCTTGTTCAGCTGCATGTGTGAATGTTAAATAGTATGTATTCTAATTTGGTTAAGTGTTGACCATTTAAGTTGGAGATAGGATTAAAATGATAACCTATCACACTGAATTCTAATTGGTTTATGTGTGCTCTTTCCATTTGGATATCTTGCAGATTTTTAATCAAAATACTGATTCTAAATAAATTTGCCATGTCAGTTCACAATCTCAACTTTTGGTCATGTAGCTGATCTGAGAGGAGGATATGAAGAATTAATGCTAAAGTAGTAATAGTGATTAAAAATACTTGTAAAGTTACTGAGTTAAGGTGCCAAATTGTTGCGAGCAATGGGTTCAAGCTTGCTTTGGTTAAAGTAATCCCTTCAAAATAGCAGTTTTGGCTCAGGCAAGCCTCAAATACAGCTTATTCGAGTACCGTTTGTATTAAGCTGTTTAAAAGTAGTTTTTGTTTTGCTACTCAAATGAACACTGTCTATTCTGTTAATAGCCAATGAGATATGTATGTAAATAACACGAACTAATGTATAAACTCTTAGTTTCTACCTCAGGACCTTCTGTGTTCTACAATCAATCCCCAGCATATAACTCCCAGTATCTTCTTGGAACAGCAACCAATGTGACTCCAACCAAGGTACCTAATAACATGATCTCCTGTATTTGGAATACGTATCTGTTGACAGTCTAATAATTCAGTTATTTTCCTTAAACCAGCCTCCTGCCTATGGAATTGGTCGGATTCCACCACAACAGTCGATGTATGGCTATCAACAGCAGACTCACACACCACCTGTTCAGAACAATGCGCCTTGTATGTATTCACAGGATATGTATGGAACACAGTTACGTTTTGAATCACCTGCAACAGGGTTGCTTTCCCCATTTGGTGAAGACTATTACAGTCATGGTGTTCCACAGACCAATACAAACCCACCATTGCCAGAGCCTGGTTATTTCACTAAACCATCAGTGGGAGTTCAGATGTCAAAGCCTACAGAGATGAAGGGGATAGAGTTTGGAAAACTGAACCAACAAATGCAGCATGAAACTACAAAGGCTTCCTTAGGTACTGCCCTAATGCATTCCACACCAGCAACAACATTCAAATTTAACTCTAATTTCAAGAATAATGAGGGGGACTTTACATTTTCATCGCCCCAGCTGAAGACTCAGACACCACCTTCATCTGCCAGTGATAGTCTTCTGGGCATTTTAACTGCAGGTAGATGTATAAAAAGTGACCAAATTGTAGGTCACATGTTTACACAAGAAGCAGTACCAAGTCGAGGAAACTTCTTTTCCCTAAGAGGGCAGGGTTCATTTGATGACTCTTCAGTTCAAAAGCAAAATAAAAATTCATTCAATAACATTTTGAGTAACCAGACATTTGGAATGAATGCAGAAGACAAAGGTGGGGAGAGTGATGGGGACAGTGTTCCTGAAGAAGATGGTCCACACTTTGACCCTGTTATACCACTTCCGGATAAAGTAGATGTGAAAACTGGAGAAGAAGACGAAGAAGTGCTGTTTTCCAACAGAGCTAAGCTCTTCCGTTTTGACACTGAGACCAAAGAATGGAAGGAACGGGGCATTGGTTATGTCAAGTTACTTCAACACAGGGCATCTGGCAAAATCCGACTCCTAATGCGACGGGATCAAGTTCTTAAAATCTGTGCAAATCATTACATAACAGCGGATATGAAATTGAAGCCAAATGCAGGATCTGATAAATCATGGGTATGGTGTGCTTTAGATTATTCTGATGAAAAGCCAAAACCTGAGCAGCTTGCTGTTCGATTTAAAACTGCAGATGAGGCTGCATTATTCAAAACCAAATTCGAAGAAGCGCAAAACTTAGTTAAAGATCAGAAATTAAAATCGAGTAGCCTACTTAGTCAAGAAAAGAAAACTGGAATCAAAATCCAGGCTGAGGACATGCAATTAGGTGCCATTAAATCAACTACTGAACAATCTGGATTTGGTGTTCAGTTTGTCAAGAAAGATGGCGAATGGGACTGCAGCTCGTGTCTTGTACGAAATTTTGCAGCTGCTTCTGTGTGTGCAGCTTGCCAAAACCCTAGAACTGTTACTGGAAAAAATAGTTTTCCCTCCGCTTCACGAATCTCTGAGCAAAATGGAAGTGAAGTTGGAGTGACTGAGAAGATTACTACAGCTTTTACTAAAACAGTAGGATTTGGTGATAGATTTCCTAAGGAAGGCCACTGGAATTGTAGTGCGTGTTTTCTTCAAAATGAAGCTGTCTCGTCACATTGTATAGCTTGCCAGGCACCAAATTCCAGTAGCAAGGATGGCATTAGTTCAGCCAGTCAGGCACCTGCAACTTTTGCATTTAGTGCTCAGAAAGATATTACAAAGCCAAGTACACATGGTAATTTTGGCCCACTGTTTGGAAAAGTGGATGGGCAATGGGACTGCATTGCATGTCGTGTCAGAAATGAAGCGACTGCACAAAAGTGTATGTCCTGCCATGCACTAGGTCCATCTTGTAAAGATTCTGGTGTGTCGTACGACCAGCCAGTGACTACCTTTGAGTTTGGTCTTGACTCTGTGTCTGCAAAAGCATCTAAAGGATTTGGTTTCAGTAGAAAGGAGGGGCAGTGGGATTGCGCCGCTTGTTTTGTGAGAAATGAACCAAATGTGGCAAAATGTGCAGCCTGCCAGGTGCCCAGACCTGCTGGCAATGTTACAGTTGTTACACCCACGAGCCAATCGGCATCAGCCTTCAGGTATGGTGAGAAAGCATGTCCGCCTGCACAGGGAGAGTTTGGAGGAATGTTTGCCAAAAAGGAGGGACAGTGGGATTGTGCCACTTGTTTCGTGAGAAATGAACCAGATGTGGCAAAATGTGCAGCCTGCCAGGTGCCCAGACCTGGCAGTGTTACAGTTGTTACACCCACGAGCCAATCAGCGTCAGCCTTCAGGTATGGTGAGAAAGCATGTGCACCTGCACAGGGAGAGTTTGGAGGAATGTTTGCCAAAAAGGAGGGACAGTGGGATTGCGCCGCTTGTTTTGTGAGAAATGAACCAAATGTGGCAAAATGTGTAGCCTGTCAGACACTTAACCCAAACAGTAAAACTGCAGATGTTTCAACTGCTGCTGCCCCATTTGGTCTTGCCAGTGCATATTCTAAATCTGATACACCCGAATCAGGATTTAAACTTAATTTTCCTGCAAGTGGCTTCAAGTTTGGCCATAGCAACAGCAGCTCAACAGCTTTCAAAGTTGGGGCATCATCATGTCAACCCTCGAGACCATTTTCTAGCACTGTGTTTACATTTTCTTCATCTAATACAGGTGGTGGGTTTGAATTTGGATTGCCTGATATGAGCAAAGACTCTACTGATAAAGTTAACCAGCCAATACAAGAAGGATCGGCTGCGCTCTTTTTAAAATCCTTTGCTGAACAGCAAAAAGAGAGGGAGCGAATGAATTCAAAATCTGGTGCAGACACAAATCAAACACCTAATACATCAAGTCAAAATGAAGAATTTTTTCTGGGCAAGAACTCCAATATTGCTACCTTTGCAGATCTTGCAAAAACTGCAGATAAAGAATTTCAATTTGGTCATAAAGATCCTAATTTCAAAGGTTTTGAAGGAGTAGGTCAACAGCTATTTTCATCATGCAGTACAACAGCTGCTTCAGCAGAAAATGAAGATGATGAATTGTATAAAACTGAAGAGGGGGATAATATTCATTTTGACCCCATTGTTCCTCTGCCTGAGAAGGTCGATCTCATTACAGGTGAAGAAGATGAAACAGTACTTTACTCACAGAGAGTTAAACTATTTAGGTTTGATACAGAAACCAGCCAGTGGAAGGAACGTGGTGTTGGAAATCTCAAGGTCCTTCAAAATAAAGCTAACGGCCGCCTTCGGATTCTAATGCGTCGAGAGCAAGTTTTCAAAGTATGTGCAAATCACTGGATCACGACCACAATGAATCTCAAACCCTTAATGGGTTCTGATAGAGCATGGATGTGGTTAGCTAGTGACTTTTCAGATGGTGAGGCTAAACCAGAGCAACTGGCAGCGAAGTTTAAAACTCCTGAATTGGCTGAAGATTTTAAAGAGAAATTTGAAGAATTCCAAAGACTATTGCTAGATATTCCATTGCAGACTCCTCATAAGTTATTGGACAATGGTAGGACAGCTCGGCTTATACAGAAAGCTGAAGAAATGAAAAGTGGTTTAAAAGACCTGAAACATTTTTTGAAAGATGAGTCAGGAAGGTTGAATGATGAAGGGAATGTAGTAAAGAGTTCTGCTTCTGAAAGCAACAATTCCTCTGGTTTAGTGATTAAACCGCATTCAGAAAGTACTGGCCCCACGTTGGAGTGGGATAATTATGATCTGCGTGAAGAGGCATTGGATACAAGTGTATCTAACACTGCATATGGGCCACCTGATACGAGCAGTCCAGTGAGGAAGAACCTCTTCCGCTTTGGCGATTCAACAACTGGGTTTAATTTTAGTTTCCAGCCAAGCTTGAGTCCACTGAAATCTCCTAAACTGAACCACAGTGGATTGTCTGTGGGTACAGATGAAGATTCTGATTTTGGGCAAGAGGAGGAGAGGGATGTTCAGCATTTTGAGCCAGTTATTCCGATGCCTGATTTAATTGATGTATTGACAGGAGAGGAAAATGAACAGGTTATCTTTTGTCATCGAGCTAAACTTTATCGATATGACAAAGAAGTGAGTCAGTGGAAAGAAAGAGGAATAGGAGACCTGAAGATTTTACAAAATTATGATTCTAAAAAAGTTCGAATAGTTATGAGACGTGACCAGGTTTTAAAAATTTGTGCTAATCACTGGTTAACACCAGAGGTAAGGATTGAGCCCATGAAAGGAACAGAAAAAGCCTTTATTTGGAGTGTTATGGATTTTGCAGATGATGTGGCAAAGATGGAACAGTTAGCTGTACGGTTCAAACAGCAAGAAATTGCTAACTCTTTCAGGGAGCTCTTTGAAGAAGCTAAGAAAGCTCAAGTGCAGGGAACATTAGTCACACCGTTATCTTCAAGAGGGAATACACCAAGAGAATCTCCATGTGGCAAAATTGCAATATCATTGCTCGAAGAAACTATTAAGGAGTCAACAGAGCAAACATGTACAAGTGTTGCATCTCCAAACAGTGCCACCAAGTCACCGAGTACGTTATTGACAGAAACACCATCATATACCTCTGTGGCTTCACCAAAATTTGTATTTGGGTCTGATTCTGTGAAATCCATCTTCAGCAACGAGCAAGAGAGGCCTTTCACTTTTGGTGGTTCAGCAACTGGATCCTTGTTTGGTTTCAGTTTCAAAAGTGCTGATTCTCCTTTAAAGGACCAAGTACAACCTGGCTCCTCTGTCATTAAGAACAAATTGCAGGAGGTAACGAGTGGTGGATTTGATTTTCGTAAAGCAGCTGCATCTCTATCAAAGTCTACAACAACCAGCTTGTTGCCTTCAAGCACAACAGAATCTGCTGTAACTGCTTTTGCAACCAAGGATACACCCAGGCCCACTGCGTTTAAAATGCCACAATCTGGTAAGTTGCTGTAGCATTTCAAAGATGTTGTTTTAGTACACTTGTTTGCGTTAGCCCATTATGTCTACAGGAAGGCCATTATACCTCTTTCACACTCTTTTTCTTTGTTAAAGCCATCTCTGATTGCACTCTTTCCCCCGCCCAACTTGTATTAACTTTCTCATGCACATGCGCACCCTTTTATTTTCTACCTTGCCAGTGTTTCTCTGGGCTGTTCTCTATCATTTTGCATCTAGTCTCTTTACTCGTCAACACTATCCACTGCAGTAAATTCTCATGACAACAACATTAGTATGAGCACTATAAAGAAATTCATCCCAGATTCTTTCAGTTGTGACTACTTTGGATTTATACCTCCTTGTTCTGGACTTAGTCACAAGTAGAATTAATTTATCAGCGTCTATCTAACAAACTCCTTCATAACTTCAAAAATTTGTCATGTTTCCTCTTAGTGTTTTAAAGTGGAGACATCTAGTTTTTCCTTCATCACAATACTAGTAATATCCTTTTAAGTAAATATTGCTTAGAAGATACATTTTTGAAGCTTTTGATCTTGCACTCAGCAGGACAATTCACTCAACATACCAACATAAAGGGGAGACAGCATTTATACTGACAGTAGAGTGCTGATCGGTTGGCAAGTGAGCTGTAATTGTTAGAGGCTTTGCTATGGAGAATGCATCCGATAAATGACTGTCAAGCTTTATTTAAATTTTAAACCAGGCAGATTGACTCTGACTCTGGTGAAGGCATTACCCTGAGTAATGAACCAGCGAATGGCTGTTACCTTTTTCAGAGTTGAAACAGGTGCAACGTTTGTATATATTCTTTATGTCTGCAAAGAACAGGGCCATGTATATTAATATATGTAAAGTGCAAATGTGATACAGAGTCTACCTATCTTAAATTGGTTATGAACACTTGCATGTTGTTTTCTCTAAGCTTGATATTTATTGCAAATTGCCTTGAGTGCAAGATTTAAAAACTTCATATTTATTTTTTCCTCAGCAGTGCTTATGCTCTGTACTGCCAAACAACCAGCTTTGTAAATCTCACTATTTCTAGTACTTCAGTGTGTTTAGTAAGTCGACCAGTCTTGCATGCTGTGATACGAGTACAATCTAACCAAGATTTTAAATTTAATAGTGCCTTTTTATATTGTTTGCGGTGAGCCCTAGTATCTTGCAGGCTATATCAACTTGGGTTTATCAATTCTTGCACCTCTTTGCTCTTCTATCCATTTTAGTTTCTTAGTTTACAAGAAATATGACCACTATATTCCTCTAACTAAACTATCACATTTCACCCTATACTCTGAAATACTGTTCCTAAACACCTCCGCTAAGCTGTTTTAATAATTAAAAGCCTCCTGAAGATCTATCTGTTAGTGTCTGCAATTAATGCCACAAGAACCACCTCAGTGTTTCAATGATTTTTCCTTCTGAGTTCGATGTAATGTACTGATATCTGACCTGGAATTAACGAGCTAAAAACTGGATGAGGAAATAAACTTAAGCAATAATTAGGTTAATGCAGCAAGCCATTGGAACTTAATGTTGAAACATGTATAGCTTGGGGATTGCCTAAGAGTAATGAACATGTGACAAACAAGTGGAGTCTTTTTACACTTGCTTGGCAGAGAACTGACGAGATCAGATTGTCTGTTCCTTTAACCTCCTGCCTACTTTTTCCCCTTTATGTTAGTGTTGGAATGTCAAATCAACAGAAATAATCAGTTGATTTACAGGTGTGTTAGGTTAACATTATTACTAGATCTCTGTACCTTTCACCTTTCCTTCTCTTATCTCCTGTTTTAATTTGACAGTGCTGATTAGTGACCTGTTCATGGCCATGGCAGGACAATTTTTCCACCCCCAAAATGTGAACAAATAATCTGTATTTATGCTTGAACTTGGCAAATAGGTGGACTGTATAATAGAAGTTGAGGTAATTTGTTAGTCTGTTTAATATATAAATACTTAAATTGCTGTTGATTTACGCTTCAAAGTTTTGTTTCAAAATTTGAATTTGTAAAAATGTGTTTTAAGTTAGAACAATAAGTTGCATGGGAAACAATAACTGTGGCTTCATTGTGTGACTCGATTCACTTAAAAGAGAAAATGTCTGTGGTACTATGTTATATTCGCATTGATTCAGATATATTGGGTATTACTGAAGAGTACAGTAACATGTACCAAAAAAAATGGAATTATATTGAAAATTATTTTAAACCTAAGAAAATGAGCTAGCTCTTCTGTCAATTGCTTTGTATCCTATTTCTTGATAACCTGATATTTCTTTATTAAAATTAGTTTGTATGAATTATTAGATTGTAGGAAGTTGCAGTCTGCCAGTGCTGTTGTAGATTGGTATCTTACTTTTGAGAATGGTCCATTTCTTTTGACCAACATTTTGCCAGTAATTATTGACACAGGAATTCTTATTTTTAGGATTTAATTTTAGCCTTTTCAAATCTAATCCATCGGCTTTTTGGACCAGCACATCTGTCCCACAGTGTGACAAAGGTATTTCTGGTATCTTGAGCAGCAACTTTGCATCACGGTTGCAAAATGGTACTGCAACAGTGTGCTTATTTTTTTAAAATACTGCTACGGCATTGTCATAACTTATGCATGCAATACTTTTTTGACCTTCCTTTGCAAAACACCTCAATGCGCATGTCTTTTAAGAGAAAATGTAGTTTTGTGCTTAAGGTGGCCATGACAGGACAACTTTGCACTTTTTGTAACCTGTTAGCCTTATTTGAATACACTTAAATTAAATTTTCTCTCAAACGTAATTCCTCTATTTTCTATAATGTGTTTTAACTTGCAATTTTGGATCAACCCTTTTCTACATTTCTAGGATTTACCAGTTCCCCATCTAATATTCTCTGGTTTCTGATCTTCGCAAAAACATTAAAATTATCTGGCTTCTGTTGAATTATTGTGTGTTTATTATGGAGTAACACCTGCTTAGCTAAGGTAACTTTGCCAAAACTGGTTTCATCTAAATACTTCAGAACTGCCAACAACTGTGTGCTTATCTCCCCTTTTTACCATCCTGTCCACCAGCCTCTTCAATGCTATATTACCTCTGCTCTTCCACTCCTCACTTTTTAGTGGTCCCTGTCAGCAGCAATTTCTCCCCTCAATCCTCAATCAATTGTTGTGCCATGCTTTTAGATCTCTCGACCCTTCATTACTTGATCTCCTTTTCTGCTATTTAATAATTTCCACCATGTTGAGCCTGCAACTTCTTTGCGTACAAGGCATTTTTTTTTTAATTACCTTGCTTAATGTTGCTCTTTCCTGCCAACCACACCCAGCCCCATGGTACTCCAAACAGTAAACTTCTATTTCCTCACTCTGCACAATTTTTCATTTCTTTATTTTGCAGTAAATGTCTGCCCCTCCATCCATCCTGTTCCCTTTTTTCTACCAGATTCCACCAACTGAATATCCCACCTGTGATATCAGCTACTGATATGGCTTTCATCCCTCAAACCTGTCTTGGTTGTATCGCCAAATTGTCTAGCGTCTGGTATTTGTACATCCTTATGATATAGTACGTAATGAAATGTACTGGCTGCTTGTTCATCAAATTATCTCTCCTCTTGTTCTAAACTTTTTAACACAATTCTTCCCCTTTGGTTGTTTCATTTTTAATCAAAATTGCATTTGGATAGAAACCCCTGTCTCTGTCTCACCCATTAATCTACATTCCTGTTCTCACTCACCCTTAGGCACTTATTCCCCCCACCACCACCAAGATGCACAGAAATCTAACAGATTTGTTGTTGTGGTCCATTGCACTACCTCTGGCATTCGTAAGACATTGTAAATCAATTAAACAAAGCCAGTCTATCCTTGTTTTCTTAGTTTCCCATAATTTTCTAAAGTATTACCATAAGTCTTTAATATTCTAATCTGTGCTTCCACAATCCTCTGAAGAAATTTATCATTTAGATTCTAAAAGGCACACCATACCCTATGCATGTGTCTAGTTCTGGACTCTTTATCCAAGGAGACAAGCCTTTCTAACCTACCCTGTAAACCCTTTCAGAATTTTGTATTGAATCAGTTCACCTCTCACTCCTATAAACTTCAATGAATATAAAACATTCTATTTGATATCTCTGCATCCACTCCAAGACGATTATAGATATTTTCTCATCATCCTGTTCAGAGATGGCCTCACCAAAGCCCCTTATTAATTGCAGCAAGAACTCCTTGCTGTATAATCCAACCCTTTTCCAATAAAGCTTTAAGTAGTATTTGCTTGCTTAGATGCTTGCGGACTTTGTAATTCACATACAAGTATCATCCTCACAAAAAAGGATCCGTTTGTGTAATGTCATTTACTATTCATATTCTCCTTTTCAAACAAAATATTTTGTCCCTCTTTGTATTTGTCATTTGCCAATATTTTGCCCACAATAAAATTTGACATTGAGAATAAAATCAATTTTATCAGGTAATATCCCTTTGCAGTCTCTTCACAAAATATATTTCCTTTGTAGTTTTGTGCCAGCAAACCTGGATATATCACATTCAGTTTTCCTTCATGTATAAAGGAAATGTTTGAATAGTTATTTCACTGAAAGGAAGACAAACCATTAGAACCTGAGAGAGATGAAGAAAGCTACAGATGTCCCGACCCAAACCATCAACTTTCCTGCTCCTCTGATGCTGCCTGTCCTGCTGTGTTCCTCCAGCTCCACACTGATGTCCAGAAATGTTTGTTTTATTTGAGACGGGCAAGTGCTAGACGACTAGTGGATAATGTAATATGCATTTGTAGGGAAAATATTAGTCTTCAGTGATGCATAAAAATTATAAAAGAAAATTACTAGATGTTGTTCTCTTTTAATGTCACATTTAGTAAACTTCAGAATCTTTTTGAGGTGGTAACAGATCCTATATGGGGAAATACCTTGGCTTTAGAAAATGCTTTGTCAAGATAACATTGGTGAATTGGCAGAGAATGAAGGAATAGGA